TATGGTATGTGATTTATGGGCTTTGATCACAAATGCCTAGAAGACTAAAACTATTTTGATAATCTGAGGACCAACGCTCCACCAATTTGGACTGGCTATTCGATGAATTTGTCCCAAGATATCCCGAGAGGAAAGGACTAATTGGTTCAATTGCATGACCGATATGTTGCCCTCCAGATTTCATTAATTCGATATATTTCTTTTGATCCAATCCGAAATCAGATTTTGGTTGTTTTATTATGCTAACCTCGATTATGAAGAGACATAATTATTATTCTATTCTGTCCAAAACATTACTTTAACAATTATTAAATGGATCCCTAGATCATATACCATACCATCTCACTTTGGACAAGATTTTTGAACTATTTTACTGAAATTTTTTGGTTCATCCCTAGGGATGAATCCGTTTATTCATCTCTTTTTTTCTAACCAATCAAAATCTATCATCTAATAAAAAAAATTAAACTCATTTAATTGTAATATTTAATTTCCCACAAAAAACAAAGTTGTTTATCGGTTTAGGTTTATAAGAAAAGATTAGGATATATATTTAATAATTAAACGAGGTTAAATATCGGTTTGGATTTATAAACGGATTTAGATTTTATAATTAAACGAGGTTAAATTTTGATTTGAATATATAAAGAATGGTTAGGGTTTAGATTTTACAATTAAACGAGGTTGAATATCTGTTTGCGTTTAAAAAGAGGATTAGGGTTTAGATTTTGTAATTAAACGAGATTATATGTGGTTCGAATTTATAAAAAAGTGGTTAGGGATTAGATTTTTACAGTTAAATGAGTTTAAGTTTTTTTATTAGGTAGCACATTCCGATTGGTTAGAATAAGAGGGGTGAATAAAAGGATTCACTCAAGGGGTGAACACATGAATTGTTCCTTACTTATTTACTTTGTATATATATTCTTTGATTTTTGAATTTTACAATTTGTAAGTAGTTTTTTAATTGAGTTTTAAAAGAAAATTCATTGATTCTGGAAAGCGTCACTGGTTTTTTTTTTTATATCAATAGACCGATTAATCTTTGCTTTCATGCTTTTTTTTTTTGTTTTTATTTTTATGTTTACCATGTAACGAAATTATACGATCTATTTTATTGTAACTCCTAATCGTTTTCTTAGTAAAAAGTAAGAATAATTCTCTCTTATAGATAGTCGGTTGAATTTTTGGAATATTGCTCTCTTAGAAGAGATCTTTGATCCAGAAGATATCGCCATCATAAGTGTCCTACCTGTGGGTGCACCAACTAAGGAGGATACACTAGGTTGGCATTTTACAAAATCCGGAAAATATACAATCAAATCGGGATATCATACTGCACGGTTAGGAAATTCGGAGACAAAATTTTCATTGATTGGACCAGATATCAAACCGTTAAAAGCACATTCTTGGCAAGTGCATTGTCCACCTAAGATACGTCATTTCTTATGGCAAATTTTTACGGGTTGTGTACCAGTTACGGAAAATTTGCGGAGAAGGGGAATTGATTGTGATATTGGTTGTGCTAGATGTGGCGAACTAGTGGAAACAATCAATCATACACTCTTTCAGTGCCACCCGGCATGACAGGTTTGGTCACTCTCTCAGATTCCTACAGCCATAGGAATTTTTCCAACATAATCTATTTTTTCAAATTTGGACCATTTATTTTGGAGAGTACCTTCAGAATTTGACTCTTCAGCCTTTCCATGGATTATCTGGTATATATGGAAAGCAAGGAATGAAAAAATATTTGAAAACATTGATAAAGATCCGTTAGAGGTATTACAGTTAGCGGAAAAAGAAGCACAATTGTGGCAGTCAGCCCAAATTGAGCTTCATCATGAAACTCATGGTACTGCAGAATTGGTTAATCGTTCTCGAGTGGGGAATACTTCACTTGACTCGAATTATTCTGGATACCGTTGCTTTGTAGATGGATCGTGGAAAGAAAGTGATAAGTTCTCCGGTACAGGATGGTTCTGTACATCATCAAACGGAGAGCCGCCAACCATGGGAGCTGCAAATCTCCGTCGAAGTTTATCTCCATTACATACCGAGTTCGAGGCCCTTCTATGGGCGATGAAGTGTATGATTGGTGCAGATAATCAAGAGGTAGAGTTCCTTACAGACTGTTCTGATCTGGTGAAGATGGTGTCTTCTCCAACCGAATGGCTGGCGTTTTCAGTGTACTTGGAGGAATTCCAGAGCGACAAGGAAGAATTCTCATCCTTCTCTTTATCTTTAATTTCTCGCAATGCTAATGTAAAAGCGGATCATCTGGCACGAAAAATTCGTACAGAACCGCTTCATATCACATTTGTAAACAATATTCCTCAGGAATAACTCTTTTGAGCTCTAATTAATTTCGGATGACAAAAAAAAAAGTAAGAATAATTCAATTGACGTCATCAAAGAAGAAAGCATTGCTAAGCATGCTTATCTAAGCAATTACACGCACGGGCTAACAAATTAAATTATTTGCTTAATTTTGGCTATATATTCATGGAAAACAAAAAAAAAATTCAACTTATTGTCTAAGATATTAATTTACGACAGTTGATTGGACTTATAAAATAACAAAAACGAAGTAATAGAGTAATGACTTCGTTAAGAAAAAAAAAAAAAAAGACCTTGTGGCTCCTAGTATGATCCCATGAGGAAACCTATATCGACAAACTTAGTGAATCAAATTATACTTTTGTTGTTCTTTTCGTTAGAGCAATTGCACCCTTCCTTTATAATATATTTTTTTTGTCAACGAATATATATGAGATGAACGATGTAGAATTATTTCTCTAAATAAAATGTTTAGCGTTATCTTAGTAATTATGTTATTTTTTATCGAATTTTGTAATATAATCCTTTAAAGGTTTTAGAAAATATGAAATGCATGATACCGTACATAAAAATATTTTAAAACTAGTAATAAAATAAAATAAAATTAAAGTAACATAATTAATAACATAATACTCATTAAATTTGAAATATATGCCTAATTTTCATGTCGAACACATGATAATATATTGAAAAAAACTTATGACACGTGTAGGTGCATACAACTAGTTTATATATGCTTCTGTGTACATTGACACCAATAACAACATTCATTATTTTATTATGTAATTTAAAAAATTATTATATCCATTTAATAAGATCTACATCAAAAATTTTACTTAAATACTATGCTTCTTTTGTTATTTTTTCCTATGCTAATTTTGATTACATATTTTTGATACTACTTTTACTGATTAAATCCATATATTGTTCTTTCTCTTTATTTCATTTATTTTTATCATTAAAACTAAATTATTATTGTTTCATTTCAATATTCAGTTCTAAACTAATATTCTCAATTTTCCTATACTTATTAATTTACCTATTCATCTTCATCTTCAAATTTGTGAATTTCTTTTTACAGTAAGCTAAATTTACTTTCGCTTTTATTATTATTATTATTATTATTATTATTATTATTATTATTATTATTATTATTATTATTATTATTATTACTATTATTATTATTATACAAATGTCACCGATCAAAATGAACTTCTAAATCTCAATTTCCCTATGTTTATTAATTTACTTTTTCATCCTCATCTTCAAAATTTTGAATTTCTTTTTCTTCTTAACTAAATTTACTCTCTCTTAATTTCTTACTATTTTTTTTAAATTTTCTTTTGCAGATATTATTATTAGAGAAATTGTTAAAAATGCCCCTTTTTCAATACCCCTTTTCAAAAATGCCCCCTTTGAGAGTCCATTTTTAAGTTTGCCCTCTTTTAGTTTTTAATGACCATTTTACCCTTATTTGAAACAAAATTAGGTCCACAAAATACAAAATATTTTTTGGCGGGAAAAGTGATCCCGCAATTTTCCCGCCAAAACACTTGTAAAAACCTTTAAAATACCTTGTAAAATTTTCCCGTAAAAATTTTTCCCGCCAAAAAATTTTGCCGCCAAAAAAATTTTTTTGCGGGAAAAGTGATTCCGCAATTTTTTTTTTTGGCGGGAAAATTTTTGTCGGGAAAAATTTACAAGGTATTTTAAAGGTTTTACAGAGTATTTACAAGTGTTTTGTAAGGTTTTACAATGTATTTTAAAAGGTTTTACAAGGTACTTATAAGGTTTTATAAGGTATTTATAACTTGTAAAACCTAATAAAAAACTTGGATGACCTTCAAACTTGTAAAAACCTTATAAAATAGCTTGTAAAATCTTATAATATCTTAGAATACCTAGTAAAAACCTGGAAAACCTTTTAAAATACAGTGGAAACCCTTATAAATACCTTTTAAAAAACCTTTAAAATACCTTGTAAATTTTTCCCGCCAAAAAAATTGCGGAATCACTTTTCCCGCAAAAAAAATTTTTTGGCGGGAAAAAGTTTACGGGAAAATTTTACAAGGTATTTTAACAGGTTTTACAAAGTTTTTACAAGTGTTTTGGCGGGAAAAATTGCGGGATCACTTTTCCCGCCAAAAAATATTTTGTATTTTGTGGACCTAATTTTGTTATATTTCCTTATATATTTGTGATATCTTTTATTAAAAGAAGGGTAATTTAGTCATTTTGTACATAAAAAGGGGTATTTTTAAAATTGGACAGCCAAAGGGGGCATTTTTGAAAAGGGGTATTAAAAAAGGGGCATTTTTGTGAGTCTCCCTTATTATTATTATTATTATTATTATTATTATTATTATTATTATTATTATTATTATTATTATTATTATTATTATTATTATTATTATTATTATTATTATTATTATTATTATTGTTATTATTATTATTTTTAACAATTAGACAAATGTCACCGATCAAAATGAATTTCTGATTTTTGTCTGAAACAAATCAAAAAGCTTACAAATTTTTACATTAATATATGCTTCAATGTTATCTTGAAGCTCATTCAATTTAATAAGATTTTCTTTACCATTTTTTATGTTTAATTGATATTTTTCCTTTTAAACTTTTTTTCTTGCCTAACCACTAAAGACTTAAAAAGTCCTAAAGACTAATCATCCTATATATGATTAGTGAAAGCACATCTCAAAGTCTCAAAGAGAAATAAACAAACACAAAGATGCTTGAGTTCGGAGCAATATGGGCTTTCACCAGTACGACTATGGCGAGTCTTATGTTCCTATGGCCAATGTATAAACAGTTTGTGCCATACCAAGTCCGAAACTACTTGGAGAAAACCTTGCAGAAGTATTTGGACAAGTTTTTCGGCACGACTTCGAATTTTGTTTGCATCAAATTCCCTGAATACACAGGAGAAGGTCTAAGTAAAAGCCGCGCCTACGATGATATACGCAACTATTTATCCTCGAGATCAACTGCTAGGGCCAAGAGATTAAAGGCCAAAGAATCGAAAAACAGCAAATCGTTGGTTCTGTGTTTGGACGATAACGAGGCAGTTGTAGATGTGTTCCAAGGTGTGAAGGTGGTGTGGTCTTTGTTCGTGGAAGATAAAGAGAATCAATCTGTTTCGAAGGTGGGAAGATACTTGACTCTGAGTTTCGACAATCACCATAGAGAGATGATCACTGAGACTTATATTGACCATGTTTTGAGAGAAGGGAAAGAGATTGCGTTGAAGAACAGAGAGAGGAAGCTCTACACTAACAATCACCGTCATGATTATACCTCTATGAGGGATGGAAGATGGAGCAACGTTCCTTTTAATCATCCTGCGACATTCGAGACTTTGGCCATGGATCTTGATAAGAAAGAAGAGATTAAAAAGGATTTGATTAAGTTTAGTAAAGGGAAAGAATATTATAGGAAGGTTGCAAAGCCATGGAAGCGCGGTTATCTCTTGTTTGGACCTCCCGGGACAGGGAAATCGACGATGATATCTGCAATGGCTAATTTCTTGGATTATGATGTGTATGATCTTGAGTTGACGACAGTGAAAGATAACGCGGAGTTGAAGAAGTTAATGTTGGACACAAAAGGGAAGTCTATTGTCGTGATTGAAGATATTGATTGTTCGCTTGATTTTACGGAACATAGAAAGAAAAAGAAGGAGGATGATGAGGATGAAGAGGAGAAGAAGAAAGCTGAGAATTTGAAAAGACTAAGAGATCAGAAAGAGAGCAATGTTACTTTGTCGGGGTTATTGAACGCCATTGATGGGTTATGGTCAGCTTGTAGTGATGAGAAGATCATAGTGTTCACAACAAATTTTGTTGATAATCTTGATCCAGCATTGATACGTAGAGGAAGAATGGACTACCATATTGAGATGTCATATTGCAGATTTGAAGCTTTTAAGGTTTTGGCTAAGAACTACTTGGAGAACGAGTCACATGACTTGTATGGAGAAATCGGGAGATTGCTAGAGGAAGTCGACGTGTCTCCGGCTGATGTTGCTGAGAATTTGATGCCGAAATCTGATGAAGACGATGTAGATATTTGTCTTAGGCGTTTGGTTAAGTCTTTGGAGGAAGAGAAGAAGAAGAAAGTAGAGAAGGAAGCGAGGAGGAAGGAGAAGAAAGCAGAGAAAAAAGAGAAGAAGGAGATACAAAAGAAAGTGAAGGGCGCCGAGGAAAACGGTAAAAAGATTTGAGTTTGTCGATACATAGAACTATTTTGTAGAATAAGAATATGAGTTGGTTTAGTTCATCAAATAAACTGAATGTTGAAACAGTTTATCAAATATACCAAATGTTGTAATGATTTATCAAATAAATCAAAAGTATTGTTGGTTTGGGTTACTATTAGAAATCATTATATTGAAAAAAGTAGAGAAGGAAGCGAAGAGGAAGAAGAAAAAAGGAGAAACAAAACAAAGTGAAAAGACGCAAACGGTAAAAAGATTTGAGTGAAAGAAACTATTGTGGTTTTTTATTCTTCTTTGGCATGGTGTTGCAAAGTACTCCCTCCGTTTCATAATATAAGTCGTTTTGGAGAAAAAATTTTGTTTCATAATATAAGTCGTTTTCAAGTTTCTATGCATTTTATATATTACATTAATATTTTATAATTATTTATATTATGCAGTCTCTTTTATGATTGGCTGAACTTTTTAAAAGTAGATTTTTTTAATCTGCGTGTTTAAAGCTAAAACGACTTATATTATGAAACGGAGGGAGTAATATTTAGATGCAAAAATAAGCTATAACATTATTTTATTATATAAACTTGGACTCGTTTCATGAGAGATCGACACCATGGCATGATTTTATAATCAATGAGATATAAAAAAAAACACCATCTTCTAAAAGGTATTGTTGTTCCAAAGATATATTGTACATCGGAGCTAAATGGATTGAGATCACGACTAATGATGTTTAGATGTACAGTAAAACCTCTATAAATTAATACTCTATAAATTAATAACCTCTCTAAATTAATAAATTCTTCCGGTCCCGAGTTGGGACCAGTGTAAAATATGACATAAATCGATAAATTAATAAGATAATAATTTTTTTGAAAATCCCATGTAAACATATGGTCCCATCTATATTATAAATTAATAATTGTATAAACTTATCAATATATATATATATATATGTATATTTAACTTAATATATATATATGATATAAATTTATATATCATATATGAATTACTATGATATATATTTAAAATATTATATGTAAAAAATTTAATGAAATATGAATCTATTATTCGAAAAAAGTTTGTGTTGTTTTTTAAACTTAATATTTGCTTCTCTACTTGCAATTGGTTTAAAAAAAATATTGCTTATAAAGGAAAAAAATTATTTTAGATAGAAATTTTTTAAGAAATTTTAAAATTAGTAAAATCTCTCTATAAATTAATAATTATTAATTTATTGATAAATTAATACCTCTTTAAATTAATAAAATTTCATGGTCCTAACATTATTAATTTATAGAGGTTTTACAGATTGCCTCACTTAGGTTCGGATAACAGATACTTGGAGATTGTTGTGCAACGGTTGTCCGGGTTTTGGCTCTTGCAAGAGCCACATGTGAAGTATGGTGTGCTAGCCTTCCATAACAAGCTAACGAAATATCCGCATGAGTAGGTTAGCATTATGAACTACTACTATCGAAGATGTGTTCTTGATGTCTTTTTGAAAGATGTTCATGTGTATTGGGCCTATTGGGTTATTGTTCATTACTAGGATATGACCCGCGGTACACCGCAGGTCAAAACTATGTTAAATCAGTTAATTTGGTCATTTTCGGTTAATCTCGGTTTATTCGGTTAATTTGGTTTGGATTTTAACAAATGGGCTTCCGAAAAATAAGAAACTTGGGCCAAGCCTAGTAAATTTTTTTTAAAAATCTACTTTTAGTTAAACGTTGCGTTTGTCACACCGCGGATTAATTATTTGATTTTTTTCTTTTTATAAACTGTTTAATTTATCGTATATAATATTTTTATTGTACACTCCGGGTCATATGCGTTGTATCTAACAATAAAAATTTTAAGCTGTATTTTTTGTTTAATGTTTAAAATTGTGTAATTGTATTTTGATTTGTTAATTCTAGGATTTCATCCGTAGTATATTATTCCGTATTAATATCGATCTAAACCCATCCCACCATATAATCCCGTCCTGTGAAATTAAACATTATTTTGTTATTTTTTTAAAAGTTTGCTTTCAAATGGTTTCTACAATATCTATATTTTTAAATTAGTGTGTTTTTATACCAACCCGTAAAAACAATTTATAATTATATCTTATACACCGGTTCGCTAATAACTTGTTCTATGATTCGGACTGAATAATTTATCAGACTTTGGTCTGGTTTTGACATACCGGTTTTTATTTGGAACCAATTCTATTAATTTTGGTTTAACTTCCGGTTCCGGTTTTGAAAGCATTAAGAAATTAAAAGCCCTAAAATGATTTATCGTTCCATCTTCTTCTCCGACGGCCTCCTCGCTATACCTTCTCCTCTGGTCAAGGACTCCAAAATCGCCGGTTATAGCTTCTATTCCGACGTCTTCTAATTTCGTCACTCTCCGTGTTATCTACAAGTATGTTTACGTTGAGCTTGATTCTCTGTTACGATGTCTTACCTCGTTAGAGACTTCACCTAGATTAATCGGGGCATATCGAGCTTGTTGTGATGTTTTAGGTAGTAGAATCGAGCTTAAAAAAGGTTGACAAATATCATTTTAGTTAGAAGAAGTTGACAAATATTGAAAGTGTAGAGAATACTGAATTGATATTCTTACCTATTTTTAGGAAAGCTAAATGATTTATAAGTTACTCGTTTGCTTAAATAGAGGAAACGAATTTGATCCTGTAACTATGTATGTTAAACCAAAATATTCTTAGTAATACATGTTGATAAATACGAAATCAATCATAGCAATTGTTAGGATTTTTTTTGTTTTGGAAAGTCGCATTAGTAGGGATCCGATATTCTAATCTGAAATTCTCGTTTTTTTTTTTTGGAAAATATCATTATTAGGATCCGAAATCACATTTGCGGGTCAAAATTCCGGGTCATTTTCTGGGTCAAAACGGGTCAAAATTTCGACCCGATTGGAGACCCCAAAAACTGCTGCAAAAATGTATAGTAGATATGTTAATGTTGAATTCAATAGAAGACGTTATATAAAGAGAGAGTAAAACATTTAACCTAGATATACATATAATGAACAATATATTAATGGTCCAATAGACCCAATAATTAAGGTGTTTGAAATTTTGATCCGCTTACGTTGTTACGTATCATTGTTGTTAGATTGACATATGTGACCACCTCTTGGCATTGATTAGAGAGATTCTACTTTTGGGGTTTGACTGTTTGAGTGGTGTGAGAGTAAAAAAAAAAAAAAATTGAGAAGAATTTTTACTGATATATAGAAGAAAAGTTATACTAAAAATAATAATTATTTCTTTGATAACAAAAATACTTTTCCTCCAATATGGTGGAGCCAAAAGAATTATTTTTATTCTCCTAATACCTTTGGATGTTTTTTTAGGTGATTGGATACCAAGTTTTTAAACCTTAAAAGAAAATGTGAGTGGTAAGACCGACATGTATTACATATCATTTTAAAAAAATTTTAGTTATAACAATTATTATTAATTTAAGACTTTGAGTTAGTTTTCGTAGAATTATTAAATCAAAACTAAACTGAAAACCATGAAAATGTATGTATTAACTATTAATAGTTAATATATGGGATATGCCTTTAGTCGAGTGGTTAAGTCCATTTGACTCCGTCTTCCCCACCGAAGTTCGATTCCACTCAGTCGCGTTACTCCGCATAGTAGGGATTGACTATAGATCGGACCTTGTAGAGATGTAAACTAAAATCTATTATTTTAAGCTTCTTGTTCGTTAATTATGCTTCCGCTTTCTATCATATATTAATTTTGTTGTTGTAATTCAAATTTCATTTGAGAAGAAAATTAAAATTAAATATTCAAACTTATTTATTAACGAACATTAATATTTTTGTTTCTTTTAATTTGAATTCTAAGACAAGATTGTAAACGAAAATATTAAAATGAAATCCGCAGATTTAAAACAAAAACATTTTCACAACATGCTAGACCATATTGTAAACATGTTATGGAATATACATTTTTATAACATATAATAGAATTATATTGAATTATTTTAAATAACGCATAGTCTTTACCGCAAAAATATTACCATCAAACCCTTTTGATACCTTGATATATATTTTTGGATATTATGAAAGACTAACCATAGAAGATTGAAAAATTAGTTCTCTCTTTTCTCTAAAGTTATCGTCTACTTTTAATAATTTTGGACTTTTTTGCCCCTATTTTAAAAATTTTTATTTCTCTTTTATGTTTATGTTTGATATCAGAAGAAGGAAATGAAAAATCTGTAGACAATGAAAGTCGTTAGACCTCCAACGACGCCCATCGTTCTGCCTCTCTTTTCATTTTCTTTTGAGACTCATGACAGTGCCAACGATGAACTCAAGACCAGCTCTGCCGAGACGGTGTCTTGACCTATGTGTTCGCCAACGATGAACTCGAGACTAGCTCCGCCGAGACGGTGCCATGACCCATGTGTTCGCCAACGATGAACTCGAGACTAGCTCCGTCTAGACGGTGCCTTGACCCATGTGTTCGCCAACAACTAACTGAAATTATTATGGTTGTTATAGAATCAAGATAGGGGAATGGATATCGTCGACGACAGTTTAATCAATTAAGCTGTGGAGTTCAAGACCTTGACAGAATTATGCAACGTGGAATTTACCAATTGGAGTTTTGAATAAATTAATCGAACAATATAGGGGTATGGGTATCGTCGACGACAACGACATTATCACATTCTTCTTGGTCAAGTCCGTAACGGATAACAATTTAATTAGCAATGTATATAAAATGCTAACATATCTTAAACACGACAACTATATTATCATGATAAATGTATACGCTAATGTAAAAGTTAGCGGAAAAATTAAATTACTAATGGAAATAACTAGGTTTAATATATAAGGTAGCTGATATAATCATATAATAAATGTTTTAACATGGTAAATGTTAGTTTACCACGTAACTTGTAAACTTAGCGCAACATAATGTGATTTATCATGTTAATCATGTCAGAGAAAGACTAATCTTTTTTATTGAACTGATATATACATAAATGAAAAACACTGAATCACAAATTTAAATCGATAAACATCCATTTAACACATAATATGTAAACTTACCGTGATAACAAATTATTTAGCATATAAAA